AAAATTATCTCTATATTACTGTATAAATCAAATGCTTATGATCATTAACTTTGAACTTCCTGTTGGCTGTGTGCCCCCACCTTATATGTCAGAATTGCATGCAATTTCCTGACAATTTCCTAAATTTCCGGAAATTTGGATATAATTCCTGCTTTGTCTGTTTTCGGTAATGATTCCTTCTTTGTAGTATTTCCAGTCAACTAACTAAAAAAAAAAAAAAAGGTAACTGCTTTAAGGTTAAGCAAGATATGAACGTCATAAATGTGAATCCGTTGCTTATTTTCTATACCCGAATGCCAAATGCCCTCCTTTGTTTCTTCCATTCCTCTAGAAACTAGAATAGAATTTTTTTAAAACCCCACGTGAGGAGGAGACAAACTAACATATTATTCCAAGTTGTGGAGTCTCATTATTCCCACTTGCTTCAGTTTAGTGGGGAGGAGGATAGGCAAGCATATTCTACCATTTTGTTTTCAGGTTCTGTTCTTCTTCAGCTTCTCCTTCTGAAAGATGTTTACATTGTTGTTAGCATGGTATGGCTTTAAGTCAATTTTTATATTCAAGAATTTTGTTTGATTTTGATCAAAAAAAGGAATCATGTTTCATGACAAGGTTTTGATTTTAACTTGAAAAACTTCTGCAATTTAAAGCTAATTTAATTGATGGAAGCAAACTCAACAAAGAGAGTTCATTGTCTTGCAGAGATTGGGAAATACAAACTTCAACAAAGTTCATTGTCTTCAAGAATCATGTTAATTTATCATTTGACATGTCTTTTTTTCATGGTTTGCAATTCTAGTACATAGCTTTACGTTTGGTATTGCTCAATCTTGATCATAACTTCTGATCCTCTTCTTGTTTCTTGTTATATTGATATGACATGAGGAATTCAACGTTTCTGTTTCATTTGTCTTTTCATTTTAAAACAAGTCATGGTATGGAGGCTGTAAGATTTACTTTGTAATGGCTCCTTGCCTAATGGAAAGTGATATGATGAATTTCTTAGAAAATTTTCCGACTTTCAAAAATTTGGGGTATTTGGGATAAGTGCTACTTTATTGGAACTAGCAGATTTTGCTTGTACTTTTGTCCAGGAAGAAGGGCATTGCTTGTAGCCTCACAAAGCCATTCTTCTTTGCACATGATTTTTAACTAAACAAAGTTGCTTTGATTGGTGTGCCTGGGTTTTGAATTCATTGCTTTATGGTGCTTTAATAGCTGAAATTTTTCATTGCAGAACCTTTTTGTTAATTGAAGTGGCTGTGATTCAATTGCTGGTGAAATGGCTTCGGTCAGATCAAAATCTGCAAGGTATGTCTGTCATACCTGTTGCATTTTTATGGTATTTTGATTTAAATGTAAACTGTCTTAACTTATATTATGATCTTATAAAAACTGATAAGTGGCCGGATTTTCTTTGTCCTCCAGTTGTGGTGGATAAAATTTTAAGAATTTAGCAAGTTTATAGGAATACTCCTTGTGATTCTGGACAAACTCTTCCCATGCTTATTTCAGATGCCTAGATGATCTTGAGAGGGCAGAACTTACATCACCAGAGAAAGGTCATTTCTCAAGATTTATGAATATGATCAATGTGAAACAAGAGCTTGAACTGGGATCCAAAAAGGGTGAGAAGACATTTCGCAAAAAAGTACTCTCCAGAGTTTTCTCAGAAGATTATGAAGCAGGGGAGAAGGCAGTGTTGGATCCTCGAGGACCTCTCGTAAACAGATGGAACAAAATATTCTTAGTGGCATGCTTAATCTCCCTTTTTGTGGACCCTTTGTTCTTTTATTTGCCAAGGATTGAGGAAGATTTCTGCATTTCTGTGTCTAAACCTCTTGAGTTTGATCTCACAACTATCCGTTCATTAATTGATGTATTCTACATCATTCAGATTTTTGTTCGCTTTCAGACAGCTTATATTGCCCCATCCTCTCGTGTGTTTGGGAGAGGAGAGTTGGTTATAGACCCTACAAAGATTGCTTCAAGGTACCTTCACAGAGATTTTTGGCTCGATATTGTGGCTGCTCAACCCCTTCCCCAGGTACTTATGCCTCTGAACTAAACTTGAATCAAGCTATAAACTTGGTAATACCCAACTGATTTGAGTATATTGAGTTTATATTGACCATAAAGTTTATGCTTGGTATACCTAGAATTCATGGTTGTAACATTGCTGTTAGATGTCTTCAAATTTTTAATATGAAAGTAATGGAACTTGTTTCTACATATTTCAGGTATTGGTTTGGGCTGTGATCCCGAGATTAAAGGGTTCAATGGCTATCACCAGGCATATTCTTCGGTTAATTATCATATTTCAGTATCTCCTGAGGCTATACCTTATCTTTCCACTTTCTTCTCAAATTACCGAGGCTACTGGGGTTGTGACAGAAACAGCATGGGCTGGGGCAGCTTATAATTTGATGCTTTACATGTTGGCCAGCCATGTATGTTATTCATTGTAGAACTTTTCCAAAGTTCATAATCAATTGCAACAATTAGTTTAACTTGTTATGTGTAGGTTACAAGTAGCATATACATCTTATTCTACTGATTGTGTTGTTGTTTCTAAAAGGTTTTAGGAGCCTGTTGGTACCTCTTAGCGCATCTGAGCAGCAAGAGCAGTGTTGGAGAGAAGTTTGCAATCAAGCCGGGCTTTGTCGTGACAAGTATTTTGACTGCAGATTTCGGAATGATTCAGCTAGAGCAGCTTGGTTCCAATCAAGCAATATCTCCAGCCTATGCAGCCCAAGCAGTAATTTCTATCAGTTTGGGATTTACGCAGATGCATTACATGATGAAGTCACTTCAGCAAAATTTTTCAACAAGTACTTCTACTGTCTTTGGTGGGGCCTGAGAAATCTGAGGTAAATGAGTTTTTGGCTTGATAGTATATGTTTGGGAAGATCTTCCTCTATCATTACTCTTGTTTGTTGCAATTTAAAGACATGAACCGTGATTTATCTCGAAATGTCAACTATAGAAAATCTGACTGAAATACATTAAGCTATAGGTTGCTTTTAGATGTTACTCAAAACCAGGAAAAAAATGTTAAGCAATGTATTTAGGAAACTTTGCTTCTATTGAGGTGCCATAATGGCCATTCTAGTACCCAACTTATTCTTTGCTGTGATTTAAAAAAGGAAAAGAAAAGCTTCTTACAACCATATTAAAAATGCAATTTGAACAATTTCTTATCAATCTTGCAGCTCTCTGGGGCAGAACCTCTTGACAAGCACTTGTATTGGAGAAATAAGTTTTGCCATCATCATTGCAATACTTGGTCTGGTGCTTTTTGCACTACTTATTGGAAATATGCAAGTAAGTCTACCATTTTTTTATCTCTACAGTAATCGGTGGAGATCTGAATCTACTTAACAAGTAGCTAATCCACTGTTATAAAATTGTCAACTAAGATACCAATCCATTCTTGCTTGGAGATCACTTTGCATCCTTAAAAATTTAACTGATGTTCATGCTGTTTCTTTTTTTTAGCCATATATGTTTATGCAGTTTGTGTTAAAAAAAAAAATTCAGATATTTTTATTTTACCTTGATTTTGTAACTCAACAGAAATATCTCCAGTCTACTACTGTTCGACTTGAAGAGTGGAGGATTAGGAGGACTGATACAGAAAAATGGATGCAACACAGGCAGCTACCACATGAACTGAAGCAGAGGGTGCGGAGATATGAACAATACAAATGGCTTGCCACTAGGGGAGTTGATGAGGAAGCAATACTCCAAAGCCTCCCTTTGGATCTCCGGCGAGACATCAAACTCCATCTCTGCCTTGAATTAGTTCGACAAGTATGTTTTAGCTTCCTCCACACTTCCATCTTTGACAAGTTCTCATAAGTCTTGAATTGACATAACATAATTGCTACCTTTTTTTGATGAAAATGACTAAGAGTCTCTTGCACTCCACAATATGTAGATTGAAAACAGATATTCATCCTTTTGTTTTCTCCTTCTGAATAACAGGTGCCACTCTTTGATCTGATGGATGATCGTCAAATGCTAGATGCAATATGTGAAAGGTTGAAACCTTGTCTTTGTACTACAGGAACTTGTCTAGTTCGTGAGGGTGATCCTGTAAACGAGATGTTTTTCATTGTTCGAGGCCACCTAGATTCTTACACTACTAATGGAGGTCAAACTGGCTTCTTCAATTCATGCCGGATTGGTCCAGGTGACTTCTGTGGTGAGGAACTGCTAACCTGGGCCTTAGACCCCCGTCCAAGCATTGTCCTTCCATCATCCACACGAACTGTTAAGGCCCTCACAGAACTGGAAGCTTTTGCTTTTGTCTCAAAGGATGTGAGGTTTGTTGCATCCCAATTTGGAAGGTTGAATAGCAAGCAGCTCCGACACACTTTCAGGTTTCACTCTCATCAATGGAGGACATGGTCTGCATGCTTTATCCAGGCAGCTTGGTTTCGCTATAAAAGACGCCAAGATGCAATGGAGCTGAGGAATAGGGAGAGCATGATGACCGCAGCTCCGGAACCCGGAACAGGACAAACAGGTGAAATGTTGCCCCCAGCAGGCTCAAGCTTGCCTTCATATGCAGCAAAACTGGCAACAAGCATCAGAAGGGGTGGGAGCATGAGATGTGGAACTGAACTTGATATTTTAACCTCATTACAAAAGCCAAAGGAACCTGATTTTTCAATTGAAGGAGAATAAAAGATTTGAATAATGTGGTAAGTTCATTACGTCAGTACACAACGTATCTGTTTGTAAACTAGATTGAATTCAATATCAGCAAAAAGAGTAGCCACCAGATTCATGGAAAGGTCTTTCGTTCTACACTCAACTGTTAACTCTAAGGTTTTGTTTGTTGGTTAAGTAGTTCAGACATCAGATTATACATTTTTTAGGTCACTTCTGCTGTTCTGCATATCATTGAGCATCTAGATTCATACCATGTACAAGTACAATGTAATATAATTTTGAGGCAATTGAGATTGGAACATGACATTACTGATCTTGCAAGGAAAACACAGAACAGGACGCAGTATAGGACATTAATAGAAATGGCAGGATTGTGCAGTGGGTAGTTGCTACTCGAATCCTCAAAATTGCTGTGTGTTCTAACTGGATTTGTTTCTGGTAAGATTAACAACATCCAATCTCACTGTCCATAATTCTTTGGGCCAGGAATCCAATTTTAAAGATGATAAAAATTTTAGAATGAGACTTTTTCTTGTAAATTAGAATCGACTAATAGTAGTATCTTTTAAAAGCTCTTAGTCGTCCATTTCAAGATTTGAATCTACAACATTTTAAGATATATTTGTCTATCTACAAGGTCAATTGCACTAAAGATAGAGACTTGGGAGTTAATGATTAAGAACTTTTGAAGGTCCAATGCATGTGACTTGAAGTCTAAGGGAAGTGACATTATTCTATTATCTTCAAATGGAGTCTAGTTTAAATGTTGCATAGCTCAACATATATTTCCTTTGTCTTTAGTAAGTTTGCTTTAGCCTTTGTATAACTATATATCCACTTTTCTCCAAATTAATCAAAATATATAATAAAATGAATAAAAGGAACAAAAAAGAATCCTATGATCCTACCCATTGAATCATTTTCCCTTATATATTTTATTCTTCTTATAATTTATTGACAATTATAAAGTTGAAAAAAGGCAAGTTTGCATGGTTTTCTTTTTGGCTTTTTTCCTAATGTTGAAAGTGGAGGTGGCTTTTTAACAAAGTTTAATATATATGTTTAGAATACATTACTTGAATCTCAAGATGAATAATTTTTTTTTATTTTTATGGGGTATTTTATGTAGGTTTGGCTTCACCCCAGAAGGAACGTATCCTCAAATGGTCATCATTTTCCAGTACAAAGAAAACAAAAGGAAAACCCTCAAACATGAATTCTTGAATATTAAGAAAGAAAAATTACACAGAATTCAACTTTGATATTTTATTATTATTATTATTAAAGTTGGAGAATTTCACTTCGATAAGTTTTAAAAAAAATTTATGGATTTAAAAATTTAAAAAAATAACAAAAAATATTTTATAAGTCAAACTATATATTAAATTAAAGTGAATTTAATTTATAAATTTAGTAATATCATTAAAAATATTTTAATAAATTTATAAATTAGATTATATTTTTAATATATAATCTAACTTATAAAGTATAAATTCTTGCTTTGTCTATTGCCAACTTATATAGACTCTACTCGGTTTTTTTTTTTTTTTTGAACAGGGTTACAAATATGAGGGAAGGAGGAATCAAATCTCAACCCTTAGATTGGGGGATCCATCTTACAAACCGGTTTATGACCGTTGGACCTCACGGCCCAGGTGCAAACTCTACTCGTTTTTGTAACATTTTTAAAGAGAGAATTAATTACATAGGGATGATTGAAGTGGAGTGCTTTCTACGTTGTGTTTGGAGCTTAGGTTATTTTCGTAGACAAGGTGATGAGCGTGGATCATACTAGATCATCCTAAAGAAGGACAAAATCGGTGAGAGGGGACCCCAGAACCTCGTCAGATACCTCCATCTTTCTCTGTTTTTACACGTTTTTTAAAATTTACATTTTAATTTTCTATGACTAAATTATATACTTAGCATGACGATTGCTTGGGCATGGATCCACTCTCTTTCTTGATCCTTCATATAAGAAGGCCCACT